CTCAGAACAGGGATTCAAAGCAAATTTCTTTCTCATGTTTTATAAAGCGACAAAGCAGCTAAAGATTGATCCGGGTATGAAAGTCATTACTTGTGGCTGGCTGGGCATTCAGATGATGCATGGTTGATATGTGCTTCAAATTTAATTAAAGTGTCTGTCTTTGGCAAAGGAATATTCCAATGACTGGTCCTCAAAATTCACGCTTAAAAAAAAAGCAAAAAAACGCTTGTCAAAAATGATGTCAGCGTGAGCAGTTATGAATAGTTCTTGAAATAATTTTAAAGAAGTGGCAGATCTTTCTGTTCCTGCAGTGCCTAAGGTCATACGGATAATTCCTATAATCTGACAGATTTTCAAGATGAATCTTTTGAAAACCATTGTCCTTTAATGACTCTTTGCAAAAAGGAATACTGATATGACTTAGAAATAGCCGTAATAGCCATAAAAGGTGGTTCCGCTCAACACAGACTTCTCTTTGTAAGCAGTAAGACAAGAAAATGTCTTAAAACAGTAGAAAGACCAGTGTCAGGATGTAACTTGGGTTCTTGTGTATCTAATGTGATTGGTTAGGGGCCACATGTGAGAGATATTCTATCAGGCACTAGCAGGTAAAATCAATACCAGATCTGAGGTCTAAATACTTTTTATTTCACACTACTTATAAATGATCAGAGTGCATTGTGGCTCGATAATGTGATATGTGCAGCATAGAGAACACACACACACACACTTTTTTCCTCACTTGACAAGCGAAACCTAAACAAAAGGTTTCAGCCGCCTCCTCCTCATATAAACACCCAGTCCACCTCCCTGAATGTAGTGAGTTCCACGAAGTTACCGAGAACGGCAAAACAAGAGAATCAAACATGCTCTGTTTGATATTCTCAGCTTGGAACAAAGACATAAAATCTTAAATGAAACAATGCACACACTGTGCACACACACACACACACACACACAAGCTTTTTGAAGTAATGTATGCGTGTCAGTTCGACCACAGTGAGACATGTTTTTCTCTCTAGTGAGCTCTCATGCAGCTCTGTAAGCAGTGTCTGATGTGTGTGTTTCATGCCTCACACTGAGAAGAGTAAACAACAAACCACATGAATTCAGTGTTTGATTAGTGCAGCAGACACACAGAGAAAGAAGAAAATAGAGACTAATAGAGAGTGTATTGGGGAGTGTGTGAGAGTGTATAGCAGCCATCTGGCCGTGTGGGGAGATGAGAGGCAGCCGTTGGTTGGAGCAAAGGGTCCCTCGCACCGTTCCATTCCTCTATCGTCAGATCTCCATGTTTACCCTACTCACCATGGGGACTGAGGCACCTCGCTCCCCGTAATCCAGCCAGCCTGCACAGTTAAAGGATGTTTATGTTTTCCAGGATTTTTTGGGAAGAGGGATGTGCAGAGAGAGGGGGAAACAGCCATGGGAGGAGTGCCAGGTAGAGCTCTGACAGTTGCTTCTGCCTCCTGTGGGAGTGCTTTTTGATGGAGAAAGTACTGATTGTACTCTAGCAGAGGGAACACAACATCGATTAACATCTCACTCTCGTGGATTCTTTGGCGGGTTCATCATTACAAGCTCATATTTTGCGGAAGATCTTTAATTGAGCCCACACGAGCTCTTTTTTCCAAGGTTTTTCAGAGACGCCAAATACGTCATACAGATTTACAAGGAAATGTGTATAAAATGATGCAGGAGGCATGTATAATTTTCCATTTCATGAAAAGAGGCAGCCACATAAAGAGGCGTCTTGGAAATAAATATTTCACCAGCTGTAAGTGTAAAAATATTTGGTTTAAAACTGTGTATAAATAATCCACCAGCCATTTAAATGTTCCCTCTTAATGCAGTGGAGCCTTAAAAAACTGCAACTTAGATTTAACTGAAAGTAATATAGTTTGTGAGCGATGAAGCAACGCAACAAGCAGGTACAGAGCACAGTGTAATTAAACAGCATGAAAACTGTTCTTTAAAGCTTACTTAATGAAAAATCTATGGGGAGTATTAGGAACATAAACTGGATGGATTGCACTCAGGTCAGTGAAGCATAGCTGCTCCAGAAAGTAACTCATGGAAAACTAAATAAATTACTCCTTGTTAATTCCAAAATTGCACTAAACATTGAACCGTAATGCAAATTTGATATGGTGGTGAAGGAAAATTAAGACAGCAATTAGCATTGCGTTGTAAAGGTCCATACTAAATATTCATGCAAATTCACTAGAATAGCTGCTCTTGATTACTTTTCCACCACAATTTCCTCCCCACAGATTCCAGGCCTGTCAGACATTGCGGAAACTTCGAGTGGCGTGAGCAAAACCTGAAGGATGTTTCAGTCTCTGTGGTGTGTAATGCATCCAAAAGCTAACCTCAGCACTGAACTGAGCAATGAGCGGTCGAGCTTTCGACATATTTCTTGGGCAATCATTCTTCAGGCTGTTAGTGAGACTGGTAGTGCCGTACACCAAACCTTGACATGGCTCAGTGTTTTGCCTTTCATCAGAACAAATCACAGGCCAGCGTTTCCCTAGAGAGTCTCAGCTGCCTGAATTCCCAAACTCACCAGCAGGAAACGGCTAATGCCCTTTTGACCCTCTCTGCTTGTGTGAGTCTGCGCGGTTGCATATGTGTGTGAATGCATCATTTCCACCCCCCCCCCCCCCCCCCCCCCC